CTAGTATTTTCAGGAACGTTTTCACTACACTCAAAATCGATTCTTACATCGATTGTAGCGCTTTTTATCGATTCGTTCTGATGCGAGCAATCAATGCCAACGAATGGGCCGTAGCCAAAAAAGAGTATCTTATCGTATAGAGCTCCGTCATCACCATTACTGCACATTGCTCCGTAATATGACTTTCTGAATTTTGCATACATGTCGTAAAGGACAGAGTATCTATTTTTATTAAAGTCAAGATTCAAATTGTCATACGGATATGAATCCGAATTTAAATACAATCGAAAATTGGTGAGTTTGCAGTCATCAAATTTGGTGATATGTCTATTGAGCCTATTTTTTTTATCCGTTTGTAATGCAAATATTACATATCGTGGTTTTTCTAATTGCGTAGCTGCTTTAATGCTCCATGTATGTTTAGTGGTTGCTTGTAACATTGGATACTCGTATAAGTCCCAGGAACGGTAACTCATAATTATCGTTTGACCGTTTTCAAGGATGCGCAACAATGAAAGTTTGTGCCTTTCTTCGAGCGTGACATGTGGCATCGTCCACTGTACTTTGTATTGTTGCAGCGTGTATTTTGCACCATCTGTTCCAAAAACAGCGTTTTTGTCGTCTCGCGACCGAACCAGAATCAATTCATGATGCGCATTAATCACTATTCGTTTGTAATCTTCGCAGAAACCGAGCAACATATTTAGAGGAACACAAAAGTCAAAGTAGCCTCCTGCATTGGGTATGTCTATCCAGCCAGCGTTTTCAAGCATTTTTGATCTTGTCGTTGTCAACGATACTCCATTTTTTATCATAGTTGTTATTCCAACGTTTTTACAACGATCGATCTCCACGCCGTTTAATTCATATCGAATTTCATCAAACATAAATGCTGCAATTCATTTCTAGTCCAACTGAAGTTCCTGCAACATTGTCATCGTTGAGAATGACTTTTCCTTTGACGTAAAGGTAACTCTCACTAGGAAACGTATACAAATCTTGTTGTTGAATGGGAATTCGTATTTCATCATTGTTTCCGAACGTTGTGTTGGCGTATGGGCTATAACTATGTAATTCGATCTTTGTAATTCGATCGTCAGAAATCGGTAAACTGGCAATGTTCAATGGATCTATCATTTTCGTTTCTTAATCACGAAACCCAACGATTGCAGAAATTGCTGGTTTTTGTCGCTCAAATCTTGCGATGTGTTCAGTTTGGAGATATTGTCCTTACTAACGAGGGGAACTACCCAAGTGTTACGCTCACTTATTAATGAAACTTTGCCATCTTGTAGAGCTCGTCGCCCTGATCACGCCTATACCCCCTTTTGGGGGCAGACGGCTAATTGTTTAAAAGATATTAACAATTAAAGTTAGTTACTGCGTACATTGAGAAGCATGACAAATTAACACATATAAATGCTTAGCTCCGCGGTAAAACGCTGGACTCACAATCTAACTGTCCACGGTTCAAGTCCATGGTTCCGAACTTTTTTCTCTTCTTTCTTTTTAATGATAATTTGTCTCTTTTTGAATAACTATTACAACTGTGCTATAATCATTGCATTTATTAATAGGTAATTAATTACATGTGCTGAAATTTTTATAGAATTTAAGTTATTTTTTCTATCCAGTACGTACATTAACACCCTTACCGCATTCAAAATTTACTAGCGTTTATTTGTTATTATACACACACAATTAATTTCCATAAAATACGAATATAATTTCTGTCCTATTGTTTTGGATTCTTCATTAATGTCTTCTGCGTCTTCTTCTAATGTTGTAAATATAAATTATAAATTTGCACAGTAGTATAAATGAATGTAACTAAATAAATATAATTAAATAAATTGAACTTGTAAAAACAAATAATAACAAATAATCGCGTGTAAATTCTGAATGCGGTAAGGGTGTTAATGTACGTATTGGATAGAAAAAATAACTTAAATTTTATAAAAATTTCAGCACATGTAATTAATGACCTATTAATAAATGCAATGATTATAGCACAGTTGTAATAGTTATTCAAAAAGAGACAAATTATCATTAAAAAGAAAGAAGAAAAAAAAGTTCGGAACCATGGACTTGAACCGTGGACAGTTAGATTGCGAGTCTAGCGTTTTACCGCGGAGCTAAGCATTTATATGTGTTAGTTTGTCATGCTTCTTAATGTAAGGAGTAACTAACTTTAATTGTTAATATCTTTTAAACAATTAGCCGTCTGCCCCCAAAAGGGGGTATAGGCGTGTTCAGGGCGACAAGCTCTACAAGGTGGCAAAGTTTCATTAATAAGTGAGTGTAACACTTGGATAGTTCCCCTCGTAAATGATGGTAAAGAGTCATCACCGTTTAATACATGATTATCATTCCTCCAACCATGGTAATTGCTGCTGCTGCAAGTACAATTTGTGCGTTTGTGATTGAAGTTGTGGTTCCATCCATTTTCTAACGATCCTTTTAGCAACTCGTTCAACGGGGTGCCCAATAATGCATTCGGCGGATTGTTGATCGGTTGAGTTTTAGCATCTATGTACAACAGGATTATTTCTAGTAATGTTTGGCATAAGTGCTGCTTGTTCTCTTGAAAGGCTATTAAATGAACGGATATTTAACGTATATTAAACGGCCGCGTGGTCGGAGCGTTCGACGATGTGCTCTTGCGATGTGTCTGATTTGAATATATTCCCTCTACTGAATGATTGTATAATTGTTATCGTTTTTACCTCATTATCCTTATTGCAGCTGTCGTAAAATGTTCAGCATACCGTTAGAGCCGTTCAACGAGCCGTTCGAGCCGTTCAAGCCGTTCGAGCCGTTTGAGCCGTTCAGCGGGCCGTTCGCGGGCCGTTCGAGCCGTTCAACAGGCCATTGATTATTATGTTTATATTCATATTATTTTTTACACCGCCTAATATGAAGCCTCACTGTCACTTCTTCTCCACGGAAATTTATCAGATTATCGTTTTGATTGGTAATGCGTATACTAAGGTGATCAATGGCTCTCACGATAACTGGAAGATAAATGAAGTTCGTAGGACTTTCCGAAATTTTATATCCTGGTGGCACGCGCAGTGAAAAGTCATGAATGGTATGAACACATTGACCGTTGCTATACGCGCCAGTCGTAATATTACATTTGATCCTCAGCACATTTACTTTCATAATATTTACGGGTATGTAACATCCCACAGGAAGAAGAATGAATAAAAAACCTATCATTATTAATTATTAAAAAATATATTTATTTTTTTTTTTTTTAGTTTTTATACAATCAAAATTATAACACTTCGTTTTTTTATTATTGTAATAACACAATTCAGATTGACAATTATATTCATATTTAATAAGAAAAGAATGTTGTATTTATACTTAACAAAATTTATACAAAAAAAAATACATTGATAATTACCGCGTCGATAATTCTACCGTGTCGATAAAAGATCGACGCGGGATATATAGATAGAGATAGGAATAACATGTAGAAAGGGACAGGAATAGAGCGCAGAATAAAGAAAGATAGCACTACGCATAGACAGAGACAGCGATACGCGCGGAGTCACGTACACGCCGGTCAAAGTCCAAACACTTCCGGTATCGAAAACGCGTATAGAAAAAACTGCTACGTAAGCAAATCTCGAGTATAAATACGAGCGTGCCGCGAGGAGCACTCCACTTCGATTCTGATCGTAGTCCGACACGGATCTATGATACGATTACTACATAGGTTTCCAGTAGCTTAGATTCTTTTGTCGGCAAGGCGGCAAAGGTTCCGCGTCAGACCCGGAGCGCTCGACCACCGGTTCGCAGCGGTTCTCATACGTGTCAGGTTCGCTACCAAGCTTAACGAGCGAGCGAAAGCCGAAGCTCCTTGGATGCGGCCTATTAGTACACTGGCTCTAGAGCGACGATACCGTCCTGCAGTGTTCGCAACCAAGCTTAACGAGCGAGCGAAAGCAGAAGCTCCTTGGATGCGGCCTATCAGTGACGGCTAAGTTGCTCAGAAATCGTACTGCGGCCGAACGGGTTAGCTCCTACAGTGTCGGAACGGATCCACGCCAACTCCCCGACAATCGAGCAATTTATTTGAATAAATTTTATTTTTTATATTCAAGTTATAGATTTGGAATTTTCATAATCGTATCTAGAGACGCGTTCACTAATCAATTAAATTTTTCTTTGTATTTTATTTTAGGTCTTCACTATTTTGTTATTTTTCTTTGTATTTTTTTTATATACAGGGCGCACTCATTGTAACTAATATAATTAATTTTCCTTTTGTATTTCAAGAACAGGGCGCAACATTTGTACACTGATTACACTAATTCTTTATATTATTTTCATTACTTACATTTTTATATAACTCAAATAATTACTTACCTTTTCTTTTTATACACATATTATAAACAAACACAACACACCACTTTCTTGAATAAACACTCATTACGATTTTTGAGAAAGGAATTAACGTTGGATTTCACTCCTTTACCGCGCACCATCCGAACCTATGATCCCTTCATTATATAATTATTTACGAGACGCCTTCTTATAGGGAACCGCTCTCCCTACGCAGTCGGTGCAGTAGCGTACTCGCGATAATAATTCCGGGGACGTTACACGTAGATGAGAAAAAACTTTGGTGACAGCGGTGGGATAGGTCAAATCGTTGTAACAGATAGGTCGAGTCACTGTAACAGGTAGAATCCGTCGAGTCATTCTTCATGATAGTTCGGGTCATTCGAGTTTTCTGTTCGACAGAGTGGTAAAAGAATACAATTCTTAGCGGACGTTAATACCTTTCTTGAAACAAATTAGAAAATAAGTATAAGCGTAATTAATTAAGTAAATACTAATAAATAGATAAATAAATAAATAAAAAAAAAAGGGAGAAAACAAAAAAAAATATTGAAATAAACAAAAGAAGAAAAAATACAGATAAAAAAAAAGGGGAAGAAAAAAAAAACATACGTAAAAAAATAAAAAAAAAAAATAATAAAAAACATATATATATATTAATAAATAATTACATTAACCAATAAACATGGATAACGAAGCCAACGTACCAGCCGAGGGCAACCGACCAATAAGCATAAGGGATGCAGCGGATATAGTGCCACCTTTCGATGGCCACAACATTTCCGTGTACCAATTCACGAAGAATTGCCTTAATGCAAGGGGCATGATTTCACCAAACGCCGAATACGGCCTAGTCCAATTAATTAAAAATAAATTATATGGACAAGCCTCGAGAGTAGTATTGAGCGGAGACTACAATACCATCGAACAGCTGATTACGGTGCTGAAATCACGTTTTGCTCCATTATACTCATCAATACAACTATGCGGAGACATGTCGAAATTGGCTCAGATGCCGAACGAAGCAGTCGTCGACTACAGTAGCCGAGTCTCCAGTATTTTGCTGCAAATTCAGAACTGCAACGAAATCGAAGTTCCTGAATATACGCAGCAGTATAATGCATCTGCAGAAGCCAATGCTGTCAAGGCATTTCTGACTGGGATGAAACCAGAAATCTTCAGTCGATTACGAAATTGCGAGTTCAACACCTTGGACGAAGCAATTAGTGCAGCTATTAAAGGCGAAGCAGAGTACAAAGAAAATATGATGAGGATGAAATTGACCGAGGGATATACCCAGGCCATTCAATGCAGCAACTGTTTTGGGTACGGCCACAGTACGAACACCTGCAGTAGCCGTTCATTCCAAAGGCAGCAGGTATCGTCGATCCAATGGCAGCCAAGATATTGCCAGCATTGCCAGCGCCCGGGACACACAATTCAAAATTGCTGGTTCAACAACAATAACAACAACAATTTCAATAACAACTATAATAATTACAACAATTATAATCAACAAAGAAGTCAATGGATACAACCAAACCGGGTTCCACAAAACCAAACCCCGGTGAACCAGCGGCAGAACACAGGTCAACGCCAAGGAACGGGACAACCACCGGCTTTTCAACATCCGGCAAACCAACCTTTGGCAAATCCGACCTTTCAACCCCCGGTAAACCAACCTCCTAGTAACTGGTACCAAGGCACCGCAAACTGGAGAAGGCAACCTCCAATATGCACTTATTGCCAAAATATTGGCCATACCATCGAACAATGCAGAAAGAAAGCGTATCAAGAGAAGATTAAAAACCAACCACAACAACCTACAACTCATGAACCACAGGTACGTAAAGAAACGAACCTGTGTCTAAAAGCGAATTACGCAGAAAAGCCACCAAGCATCAAACTCATAAGTGAAAACTTTCATCAAGGAGTAGCATCACTAATGATCGACACTGGATCAGATATAAACATTATTAAAAAACATATTATATCAAATAAAGCAATAATTAATACCAATATCATCTTTGAATTAAACGGAATAACTGAAGGCTATCTTTCAACCCTAGGATACATCGAAGTAAAAGCGCTGGATACAGAGTCCGTATTCCATGTTGTGGAGGATCTTCCGATAGCGCACGATGGAATACTAGGAACCGAATTCTTTAAAAATAGCGGAGCGAACATTGACTACGCCAAATCTATGCTCATAGTCAACAATTTCATAATACCATTCCAAGAGCCTTTAATCACAATACCATCAAGGACTAGAACAACAATTCCCATTAAAGTAGAAATACAGAAGAAAAGACAGGCTTTATACCAAAAATCGAAATACATCCACAATTATACATGGGAAACGCCGTAGTGACAAACAGAACTGGCATAGCCTTCCTTCATGCAACAAATGTCTCCTCCGAAGACATCAAAATTCAAATGCCTACCTTACAATTGGAACCATACGAAGAAATAAAAATAGAAGAAGAAGAAGAAGCACCATCAGATTCTACTGAACGCATCACTACACTATTTACATCACTACGCCTGGAACATTTAAATAGAGAAGAAAAATCAAGCATAAGGAATTTAATTTCAAACAACGCTGACAGATTCTACTTAAACGAAGACGAACTTGGAGCAACAAACAAAATTTTCCATCGAATAATCACAATTGACGAAGTTCCAGTTAACATAAAGCAATATAGATACCCACAGGCGTTAAAGGAAGAAGTAAATACACAAGTCAAAGAATTATTAGAAAAAGATATAATCGAACATTCATCATCACCTTATAATTCTCCAATCTGGATAGTTCCAAAAAAGGAAAAAACACATGGAAACAAATCATGGAGATTAGTAATCGATTTTAGAAAATTAAATGAAAAAACCATTAGCGACGCATATCCATTGCCAAACATAGTCGACATTCTAGATCAATTGGGAAGCGCAAAATACTTCTCAATATTCGACTTAAAGTCTAGCTTCCACCAGATACCCATGCATCCAGACGACAAACACAAAACAGCTTTTTCAACGCCATTTGGACACTTCCATTTTAAAAGAATGCCATTTGGTTTAAAGAACGCTGCAGGTTCATTCCAGAGACTTATGAACAACGTTCTGGATGGACTACAAGGGGTCGAAGCATTCGTGTATATTGATGATATAGTAATTTATGCTAGCTCAATAGAAGAACACGAGACAAAATTCAATAGACTTATGGCAAGACTGAGAGAAGCAAATCTATATCTCCAGCCGGAAAAATGCGAGCTACTGAAGAAGGAAGTAGCCTACTTGGGACACATTATCACAGAGGATGGAGTGAAACCTGACCCGAAGAAAGTAGAAGCGGTCAAAGAGTTTCCAGTTCCCAAAACAGTAAAGAATATTAGGCAATTCCTTGGTTTATGCGGATATTATAGAAGATTTATAAAAAATTTTTCAAAAATAGCTAAACCTCTATCAGATTTAACAAAAAAAGAACAAAAATTTGAATGGACACAGCAACAACAACAAGCTTTCATCATCCTCAGAGATAAATTATGCGAGGAACCAATTCTCCAATATCCAGATTTCACAAAACCTTTCAATATCACCACGGACGCATCTGGAATCGCCGTTGGAGCAGTACTAAGCCAGGGCGAAATTGGAAAAGATCAACCGGTATCATATACTTCAAGAGTATTAAACAAGGCAGAAACGCAATACTCAGCTACGGAAAGAGAATTGTTAGCAGTCGTATACGCCGTAACTCATTTCAGACCCTATATTTACGGAAGAAAATTTTATCTAATAACTGACCACAAACCATTAACATGGCTGCATAATTTAACAGACCCCGCATCAAGATTAATGCGATGGAAACTAAAATTAAGCGAATACGACTATGAGATCAAATATAAACCCGGAAAACAAAATATAAACGCCGATGCATTATCCCGAAATCCTATTGCAACCTTACCAATTCAAGCGAAACGAAAACATTCTACCACAGACTCAAAGGAAGTTAAAAAGAAGAAACAATGGCACCAGTATGCTACCAGACCCAGAGCGACAACTTCAACCACTGAATCAAGAGAAATCAAGAAGAAAAAACAATGGCATCAATATCCAACTCGTCCGAGAAGCACTACATCAACTACAGGATCCAAAAAAATAACAAAAAAGAAAAAAGAATGGCACCAATATCCAACACGTCCTAGACCATCGACGACAACCGATTCTAGGGAGCATAAGAAGAAAAAAGAAACGCACCAGTACCCTACACGTCCTAGACCATCGACAACATCCGATTCTAGGGAATATAAAAGAAAAAAGGAAACCCACCAACACCCTACAAGACGAAGACCAACTACGTCATCAAGCTCCAGAGAAATCAAAAAGAAAAAGGAAACCCATCAGTATCCAACAAGACGCCGAGATACATCTTCAGAACTAAACAGAAAAACAAAAAGGAAAAAACAGTCGCATCAACACACCACACGACAAAGAGATACTTCCTCTGAATCCGAAAGAAGTATTGTAAGAAGAAAAACAACACATCCTACACGACAGCGAGATACTTCGTCTGATTCTGAGAAAGAAATAAAGAAAAAAAAAATTACACAACACTATAAGAGACCGCATGAAACAAGCAGCAGTCTACATCAAACAAATAAGAAACGCTTTAAAGAAAACACAACCTCCAGTGAATCAGAATATTGCGATACTGACGAATTTCAAGACCAACAACTCAGGAAGAGGAAAAAGGAAACATCAAGCTCTGCAAACAAACAATTCAAAAAGAGAAGACAAAGTGAAAAACAAGTTATAGTAGAAATTCATCAACCACCAAAAAAGTTGATTTATGAACCTCCTAAACCAATCAAAAGGAAACATGAACCAATAATAATTGGTGACGAAATTGAAGTTTTTGAAGAAGGAATGACTTTACCCAAACACATATATAGAGACCCACCCAAAATAGGTTCATCTTCAGGAACAAAAAAAGCATCCTCAGAAACAGAAAGAACATCTTCAGAAATAAAAAAGGCATCTTCAGGGACAAAAAAGACATCTTTAGGAACCAAAGAAGAATTTTCAGAGCTGAAAAAAGAGGAGAAAAATGATTCAGAAAGTACATCCACAGCACCAATAACTCCTATTAAAATTATAAAAGAAGAGGATCAACTTACCACTCATAAAATAACACAACCAAGAGTGATCAGCAACCTACCAGTCACATCCAAGATAATAGAGACAACTGACCACCTCTGGATGAAGAAAGGAATTGTGATTGTATTCCTAAATGAAGAAGGAAAACCAATAGACAATCAATCAAAAGAATTTTTACAAAAGGAAAAAATAAAAATACATATACCTCATCAAGAAGAAACCATTATACATCTAAAAAAGAAGAACAAAGAAATATTTGGCCTGGTAACACATTCAAGAGAAGTCTTACCTAAAACACTAAAAACACTTTACCAAGAATTCTATAAGAGGAAAATTCAAGAATGTTCTATACCTGAACTAAAAGGATTACATAAACTCCTACAAGTAATTTTTGCAGACTCAAACATCTCTATCACACTCTGTAAAGGAACCATAGTCACACCACCTAAAGAAGAAAGAATACATATCATTAGAGAAAACCATGAAAGCCCAGTAGGAGGACATAAAGGAATAAAAAAGACTTACCATAGAATCAGAAATAACTATTATTGGAAGAACATGAAAAAGGAAATCACTGATTATATTAGAACCTGCATTAGCTGTCAAAAAGTGAAATTAGTAAGAATGAAAAACAAAGAACCAATGGTCATCACTGATACCCCTATTGATGCATTTGACAAAGTATCTTTAGATATTTTAGGACCATTGCCAATAACTACAACAGGAAACAGCTATATACTTACTATTCAGGATAACTTGACCAAATACTCAGCTGCAATACCCTTAATATCAACTACATCTGAAGAAGTAGCAAAAGCTTTTACAGAACATTTTATATGCAAATTTGGAAGTCCAAAAGCTATACTTACAGACCAGGGTACATGTTTCACAGGATCATTAATGAAGAAATTAGCTAAAGCATTCCAAATCAAAACATACAGAACATCTTCATTCCATCCACAATCAAATGGATCACTAGAAAGAAGCCATCATGTTTTAATTGAATATTTAAAACATTATATCTCAAAAGAAAAACATTGGGACGAATGGTTACCACAAGCGATGTTTTCCTATAACACCAGCATCCACGAAGGAACAAAATTCACACCACATGAATTAGTTTTCGGAAAAAAAGCTCGTCAACCATCAAGTATTAAACCGATCGATAATTTAAAAACATACCCTGATTATATCGAAAAACTAATTCAAACACTGCACAATTTACGAGAAATAGCAAAATCAAATTTGGAAAAAGAAAAACACAGACAAAAACACTATTACGACAGAAAAATTCGACCAATAAACTACGAAACAGGTGAAAAAGTTATGCTATTAAACCCGCCTAGAAGAAACAAATTTGAAAAGGAATACACTGGACCATACACTATACTTCGAAACATAGAACCAAATAACATAGAATTGGCAATAGGACCCAATAAAAAGCGAATCGTTCATAAAGATAGGCTAAAGAGGGCCTATCTACCAATCAACATCATAGATCAAACGTGAAAATCGATGCAAAAATCCACTAGATTCATGAACACGCGCATGCGTATTAACGAAAACCCAAAAAAACCGTTGGAACCAACAAGTGGTAGCATTCTAGAAAGAACAGTCAACAGAACGACACTAAGCAAACGAAACAAGTGAAACCAAGCAAGTGAAAATTGATTTAAAACATCAAAAGAGAATAAAAAGGGGTAAGCACAAAACAAATAACAAAATATATATATAAAAAAGAAAAAAAAAATAATAAAAAAAAAAAGGGAAGGAATATTTTTTCTTTTTTTTACAACAAATACCGTTCACATAACAGGAACAATGCACCTACAAACATCCATCGTCGACGTCCTCTGCATCCAAGACTTTATACCAGCCTTTGAATTCATTTTCAATCTACAAATGGGAAGAATGTGCTGGCACTGCGCGACAAGAACCCATGCAGAAGCCCATGAGCAATGGCTACACGCAGGAAATCACCATTTTATATTAAAAGAACAAGGGGAAAAACAATCCCATTGCGTAGTATGCAGACGAGAAATCGCAACGATACAGCCTGCTATAGCCTGCACCAAGTGCCAGCAAGCCTACGGAAATATGGATCAAGCCGAGAAAGAACCGTTTGAAAT